TTCTAAACCAACTCTCCAATGCTTTCAGCCAGCCTAACCCTACTCAGCCGTAACCCTCTCTTCCCCAACCTCACATCCATTCACCACCCCCTAACCAACCCCATAACTTGCAATGCCACAACATGCAACACACTCCGTCATCACCCCCCCGCCAATCTTTATTGTTCAAGGTTTCCCCACCATCAATCAGAGATCGATTCAGATGTACCCGCTAAACACAAGTATCCCCAGACCATACAAATTCGAGGAGAAATAATGTTATGCATACAAGATTAGGTCGATTAGTCTCAATCATCGAGCGATCTTAATGATCAAATGATCTACTTGCATGGTAGGTGGGAATGCAACGACAGTGAAGGACCAAGTTCAACTGCACCTACTGTAGTCCCCTTTACAACCCAACTGTAGAGAGCCTTGACTCAACACTCCCAAAAAGGTTGTCACACATCTAGCGCTTGTCGCAAGCAACAACCGCATCAACGCTCAAATGAGCGGTATGTTTGTTAGACCCTCTTTTGTTGCTTCAGTTTTTCATGAGTCTCGGGGTAATGTTCTATCATCGAGCCACATGCAAGGGATCGATGCAGCTGCGCTTATGGAAAGTGACATGGGCAACCTTTGGGGTCTTGTGGGTCTGTGGTACGTGCTCCAAGGCTGTGGAGTTTTGGTCTACCAAACCAGGTACAATCACTAGAAGCCCCAACAAACAAGGCTCTAAGAGTAGTTTATACTACCCCGTTTTTGTGCGCTTTCGTTATGGCGGAACTTGGCTTCCAGTAGATGTCAAAGGTTAGCTGGACCCTAAAACTATTGAGAGAGACACTTTCTATCGTTACATGGGGCGTCCATTCGGGTTGTGGGAAGCATCATAGTGCATGGAGAGTATTGCATGTCAAGAGTCAGGCGGGACATGCGAGAAAGATATGGAGTTGGGTACATATGCGTGGATGGTCGATGGTCACAGGCTAGAGAGGGGCAATGGTGCACTGTTATGTGTCAGAATGTTATAATTGTCTAGCCTGCAGTGGGGTAATCTATAGCGAGTACAACCCAATTAGGGTTTCCTATATGTATGCCAACTGCTGATAGTGCAACCCCTCTCTTCTTCATTCCTCTTTTCTTCACATGCTATCAGAGCATCTACGCTCCTGGCCTGTGGGCCCACTCAACTGCTTCCGCTGCTACTCTGTGTGCTGCACGCCCCGTGGCGTGCCCCTCGCGCGACCCTTAGCGGCCCCGTCGCCGCCCTTCTCGGCCCCTCGCGGCCCCTTCGCGGCCCCGTTGCCGCCCTTCCAGGCCCCTCGCGGCCCCTTCGCGGCCCTGTCGCCGCCCCTAACGGCCCCGTCGCCGACCTTTCAGGCCCCTCGCGGCCCCTTCGCGGCCCCGTCGCCGCCCCTATCGGCCCCGTCGTCGCCTCCAGCGGCCCTGGCCCTGTCGCCGCCCCTAACGGCCCCGTCGCCGACCTTTCAGGCCCCTCGCGGCCCCTTCGCGGCCCCGTCGCCGCCCCTATCGGCCCCGTCGTCGCCTCCAGCGGCCCTGTCGCCGCCCCTAACGGCCCCGTCGCCGACCTTTCAGGCCCCTCGCGGCCCCTTCGCGGCCCCGTCGCCGCCCCTATCGGCCCCGTCGTCGCCTCCAGCGGCCCCGTCGCCGCCCCTTGCGGCCCCGTCGCCGCCCCTTCGCGGCCCCGTCGCCGCCCCTAGCGGCCTGTCGCCGCCCTTCCAGGCCCCTCGCGGCCCCTTCGCGGCCCCGTCGCCGCCCCTATCGGCCCCGTCGCCGCCTCCAGCGGCCCCGTCGCCGCCCCTTGTGGCCCCGTCGCCGCCCCTTTCGGCCCTGCCTCGACCCTGCCCCGGCCCCGCCCCGGCCATGCTCCGTCGCCTGTCGCGGCGCACCGGGGGCACGTGCACCGCCCCCCCCCTCTTTTCCTTGGGGGGGGGGGGCCAGCGTCGCCCCTTCTGCCGCCTGCTTTGGCGCCCTGGGAGGCCGCGCGTCGGCCCCCCCCTTCCCCCCCCCCCCGTAACCTCCCTACCCGCCATCCCGCCCTGCCCTGTGTTAGGGTTTGGGGGTGGCGAGTAGGGGGTGGCGGGTGTGTGGTCTCCCCTGCTTCTCCTCCTCCTCTGTCTCCCACTGCTGCAGCTGCCGCTGAGGGGGGTGGTTGTGTGGGAGTCGACGGAGTGGTGCTAGGGGGTGGGGTGTGAGTGAACCTAGGGTGCAGCAGGGGGTGTGTGAAAGGGGGGTGCTGTGGGAGTAGAACTAGGGTTTGAGCAGGGGGTGTGTGTCGAGAGGTGTGGGGCAGCTGGAGGAGGTTGTGTGAAGGTAGCTGTCGTGTCGCCTGCAGCGCCTGTATTCCGTCGCCCTTGCTTCGGTAGCCAGTGAGCCTGTTGCACCAGTCGCCAGTGGGTCCGTTGCTCCTGCCGCTCGTCTATAGCCGCGGAGGCAGTTACTCCAGTAGTCCGTCGCCCTTGCTTCGGTAGCCGCTGAGTCAGCCGCTCCTGTGCCCGTGCCTCTGCAGCTTCAGTCGTTGCCTCCCATCTTCTCTCCCTCCACAGTTCCTCCTCCTCCTCACTTGCCCGCTGTGATTAACTCTAGCTTTGCTCCCTATTGTGAACTCCTGCTCTATGCCTGCTTGCTCATTGTGCTGATTACACCCCACTTTGGCTATGGGGGTGTGTCAGAATGTTATAATTGTCTAGCCTGCAGTGGGGTACTCTATAGCGAGTACAACCCAATTAGGGTTTCCTATATGTATGCCAACTGCTGCTTGTGCAAACCCCCTCTTTTTCATTCCTCATTCTTCACATTACGTTCATGGACCCCAAGTCACGGAAGATACTATTAACTGTTACAATTTCAAAAACGAAGGAAGGGGTATCGTCAACGAACCGGCTTGCAAAAACAAGAGGTCTCAGGGTTCAAATTTACAGGCATCATTTCGGACGGTGGCATGTCAATCAAGAAAGTGTTAAAAATTACATGTCTAAACCATCAGATGGAAATCTGGCATAGATATCGAGCACTTGTGAGGTTTTTTTTGGAAGATTTTGTGAAAGTCGGAAGATTTTCAGTTTGATGAAAGTTTCTCAGGTCAAGACCTGTTCCGATTTCTATTTGGTTAGACAGGAGGAGTTGTGGGAGTGGTTGGTTATACGTGAAGGGGATCTTGGACGGGTGCCTGCAAATTCCATGAAAAAAAAAAATAACAAACAAAAAAAAAAACAAAAAAACAAAACAAAACAATGATAAAAATATGCGAGGGGAGGATTAAGTTTGGTGAAACGGCCAAGGCTCCGCTCAAGTGGGTTTTCATGGAAATGCGGAAGGTGCCAACAGTTAGGATGAAAGAGACACAACGGCCGGCCAAGCGACGACGGGTCTCGGGGCACAACAGGGGTCGGAGCGGAGATCAAGCAAACGGGGGCAAGGGGGGGGTAGGAGAGATGGTGGATGCGCATAATGAAGAGGGATATAGAGAGGTGCACAGAGACGGAGGAGAAGCAAAGGATGTGGCTCGGTTCTTGGGCATTAAGTGGGTGGATATTGATCCCCTTTTTTACTTCGATCCGCATCCTACACATGCCGTACGGAAGAGCATCTGCAACGAATTCATTCGGGAGTCGGCTGAGTTTCTTTCAAGCAGCGAGTTTCACACTATTGACAACGTAGATACGGAGGGAATCCACTTGGTGAGTCTGTAATCTTTCAAGTTCATTGTCAAATCCGATTGCAAGTATGTTGAGCGTAACACCCCTTTTGACAATTTGTTTGTCTCATTCAGGTGATGAATGCTTGGTTGGAGAGATGGCACATATGCAACATACGGGTGAGCCTATAGAGACGGGGGAATGTGATTGAGGGACGTGATATAAAATGGCAAGAGAAAAGGGGATGGTGGGTGCGACGGAGGGGAAACAGGGAGGGAAGTGGAGGAAGTGTCGGTGGCTCAGCGTTTGGGCATTCACTTCTACTATGAGATGCTGCGTGCTGCAACTAAGGCTGAAGCGGGTCATCCAGTGCAGCCATAGGAGGTTGCCGATGAGTTTGCAAACAACATTGGGGGGGGCGTGGGGGGGGTGCAGGGAAGGATGAGAGCGCCCAGCGCAGCTGAGGTGTTTTTCGACTAGCAGGTGAGAGGGCGGCATGTGAGAGGGCGGCAGGTGGGGTGGTGGCAGGTGGGGTGGTGGCAGGTGGGGTGGTGGCCAATGAGTTATGTGAGGATCATTGGGCAAGCTTGCATGTGCGTTTTGAGAGGGAGGGTGAGTGTCCAAGCTGTGTCAAGGAACGATGGGGTGCGGAAAGTGCTTTGTATGAGCCAGATTCAAAGATGCATGTAGCCTTTAAAACCCAGAGCTCGAGTTACACAACGAAGTCAACATGCAATTTGTAGGTTCAGGAAACCCCATGATGAGGTTGGGTGGGAAAATCGAAAAACAATCACATAAAAAAAACACTAAAAAAATTGGACCAATCGTGTGAAACTGGTGACAATTTCGACTCGGTAATTCTGGGTGTGGCCTTTAAAGCTCGCGTCTCATATTTCTTACTTCCAGCCAAGTGTTAAACGCTAGGAATCAGGTAACAACCATTTTTGTCGCAACACACCCCAAAGCAAGTGTTAGGTTTGGGAAGCTTGGATGGGAGTGGGTAGCCCCCGCAAACCTAATGTACACGTCAAATAACGTTGGGTGATCCCAAGTATGGGTACGCCAAAGCAGGTTAGGAAACACACCTGCGCGACGAAACGACAGGGTGTGACAACAGAGTGTCGCCCTCTCCCGCGTGCACACCAAGCATTTTACAGGGGCCGGAAATATGAGACACACAACTCCACCATTCTCACAAGGAGCGCAGTTGCTGCACCAGTTCAAGTGTTTTACGCTTTACAATCACTCGTCACGTCACATTCTAGAAAGACAGCAAGGCCAATCCTTGTTATTCGCTGCCGTTGCAAGGCTTCCAGTATCTGGTTAGCCTCGCCCTTCTACACTGCCTTTAGTAGGTGAGCTTCACGAGTTTGCGTGATAATGCCTTAGGTACGAGCATGGCGGATTGGCAGTTTTGGCGGAATGAGAGGCGAAATGGCGGTAGATGGCAGAACTAGATGCGGAATCATAGTAGATAGCGGAGAGAGAGCCGGAGTGGCGGTACATGGCGGAACGAGAGGCGGAATGGCGGAAGGTGCCGGAATGCAAGGCGAAACGGCGGTAGATGGCGGAATGCAAGGCGGAACGGCGGTAGATGGCGGAATGCAAGGCGTAATGACGGTAGATTTGAGAGACCGAATGGCGGAAGATGGCGGATGCGGAATGGCGGTAGATGGCGGAAAGAGAGGGAAAGGGGAAGGGAGGTGAGGTCAGACGGTGGAAGGGAAGTGTCACGAGAAGGGGAGAGGAGATGCTGTGGGAGGGAGGAGGGAGGTGATGTGAGAGGGGAAAGGGATGTGCTGTGAGAGGGGGGAAGGAGGTGCTGGCAGGGGGAAAAGTGGTGATGCGAGAGGGGGAAGGGAGGTGAGGGACAGGGAGGGATGGGAAGGGAGGGCGACGAGCGAGTGCAGCGGGACGGGACGGCAGGTCAAGCAGATGCACAAGTGCTCCCCGTCCTCCCTATCTCCGTTCCCTCCTCCCCACCCACTTTCCCTTTCCCACGCCTTCGTCCTTTCCCGCACCCCCATTTGCAATCCCCTATCAAGAATCGCTTCCCCCATCCCCCTTCTCTCCTCCCTATTTTCCCTTTCCGTATCCCTCATCACCCTTCCTTATCCCCTTGTCTTTCCACTCATTCTTCCCGCTGCCCTGATTAGGTGCGCACGACGGGTTGCGATAAATCCCATTATTTCCCCATCTGCCATCTCCTCTCACCCACTCTGCCATCTCCTCTCACCCACTTTGCCATCTCCTCTCACCCACTCTGCCATCTCCTCTCACCCACTTTGCCATCTCCTCTCACCCACTCTGCCATCTCCTCTCACCCACTCTACCATCTCCTCTCACCCACTCTGCCATCTCCTCTCACCCACTCTGCCATCACCTCTCACCCACTCTGCCATCTCCTCTCACCCACTCTGCCATCTCCTCTCACCCACTCTGCCATCTCCTCACCCACTCTGTAATCTCCTTTCACCCACTCTGCCATCTCCTCTCACCCACTCTGCCATCTCCTCTCACCCACTCTGCCATCTTCTCCCATCCCCCATGCCATCTCCACCCATCCCCCATGCCATCTCCACCCATCCCCTGCCATCTTCGCTCATCCCCCATGCCATCTCCACCCATCCCCCATGCCATCTCCACCCATCCCCCCTCACTCTGCCATGTCCTTTCATCCCCCTGCTATCAACTACCTCTACTTGTGGGTGACAGGCGTACTAGTTGCTCATTGATGCGACCTAATATGTGCCCTGGTTCCCTCAGTAAGGATCGGCGGGGTGTCTTTGTTCCTCAAGCCTGACGAAGCCTGCCCCAAATTGGTTGTTTGGTGTCCATTTTGCTTCATATACCAATACCTATCATGATTAGCATCAAGATGATACTTGAATAGATAATTTTCCCAACAATTTACAATTGTCATACCATGTATCAATGTTGAATCTAGTTTATATCTCGCTTCTGTTGTAAGGGTACTCCTGAAGCAACAAAAGTTCACAAACAGCATACTACTATTGTATTGGTTGGCATAAAGCTAGTAAATGTTTCTTCCTACTCCACTCTGCTGCGCTGCATACAATAAAAGGGACACGACACATGGTAATGCCACAAAACCTGGTGCTGGGAACCTGTAAAAGCATGATGGTACAGCAGGGCATGGAAATGAAAGAGGAGGGAACGGCAGCGGGTGGGAAGGCAGTGAGACAGGGGATGCAAAGGGTGGGACTTACCTCGTTGCTTTGCACGAGCCCACCACACGCACCTGCAAAGGCGGAGTTGGACAGAAAGAGGAAGGCAGGGAGAAGCGAACAAGAGAGGCAGGGAGAAGAAAAGGAGAGAGGCAGGGAGTAGAGAAGGAGAGAGGCAGGGAGTAGAGAAGGAGGGAGGCTTGGAGAAGAAAAGGAGAGAGACAAGGAAAAAAGAGGAGACAGACAGGGAGAAGAGAAATAGAGAGGCAGGGAGAAGAAAATGGGAGCAGCGGCAAGGTGCTGGCCAACAGGCTACGAAACACGGAGGAGCTGCGAAGGCAGGGGGAGGCGAGATGCGAAGACAGGGGGAGGTGAGATGCAAAGATAGAGGGAGGCGAGATGTGAAGACAGGTGGAGACGAGATGCGAAGACAGGGGGAGGCAAGATGCGAAGACAGGAGGAGGCGAGATGCCATGACAGGGGGAGGTGAGATGCTATGACATGGGGAGGCGAGATGCCATGACAGGGGGAGGCGAGAAGCAAAGACAGGGGAAGGCGAGATGCGAAGACAGGGGGAGGTGAGATGCGAAGACAGGGGGGGAGGGATGCGAAGACAGGGGGATGAGGGATATGAAGACAGGCGAAGACGCGAAGACATCATCTCCCTTTCCCCTCGTCCGCCATCACCTCCGTTCCCCCACGCCATCACATCCCTTCCTCCCCTGCCAAGCTCTCCCTTCCCCCCCTTCCATTCCCTCCCTTTCGTGCACGCACATTCCGCTCACCATTGTTGGTGCAACCCTACGGTTTGCACTCGGCTTGTTGTCCGTGTGCGTGCATGCGTGTGTGCATGGAATGGAATGAGTGCATGAATTAATTATATATTTCATGCTTATAATAGTATGTAAATGATGGGTCATGATGTCGAGTGTGTGTGTCAAGTCAATAGCGAATTATCGCTAGTCGCGTGTAACGTGGTCATTTTGTGTGTCCCGCGCGGTTTCTATTTTTGTCGTGCGCGGTTTCTAATTTGTCGCTTGTCGAACGTTCGGCGTGTCGCAGGTGTGTGCAGCAGACCCATCAAGAACTCAAGGATGAGTTTGTGATGAAGAACCCGAGCCCTGGTGTCAACATTCAAGTGATCGCGAAGCTCGCCAAAAGGGTACACCTCAAGAAATTGAAGACAGTTACATTACTTTGTGTAGTGTAACATTTCACTTGGTGTAGGCCCTAGTGAAGGGTAGTTTCGAGACCCTTCGTGGTTGGGGACAGTGTGGCACTATTCCACATCACTGTACCTCGGCTTTTGGGGTTTGTAGTCATTCCCAACTCAAAACTCTTCCCAACTCTTCCTATTGTGTGTTCTAAGACCATAGTGGCTGCCATAGTGCCGTTCGTTCAAACCAACGCTGTGTCGTCAATACTTGGTGAAATCGTGCGATCTAAATTGCCTATTGTAGGTGACATTAAGACGCTCCAGATCCAAGTCGAATCAGGTCATTTAAAGCCGTGACCAGAACGCTATGAACGTTTAAAGACGCTCTGCAGAAATCCGACTGTGCACTCTATCTTTCGTTTTAGGCACATTGAAGCCTACTGTGACAATGACAAGTGGTATCAGAGCCCCTTGGAGAAGTTTCGACAATGGCTGGACCTGAGGAAAGGGGTGGCAGAGGTGCTGGTGGCAGTGGAGAAGCCCAAGCTCAAGGCCAACCCCGTGACTCAGCCATGGCGCCTGTGCAACCAATTGTTGGCCCATCTAGGGATGAGCCTAGAGTGTTTGGCCTTGACAAGTTCAACGGTGACAACTTTGCTGAGTGGTCCTTCAGAATGGAGAACATGTTTGACCATTATGACCTGCTGGAGGTGATGGAAGGAACGGAGAAGCGCCCCGAGAATGACCCGGAGAAGAGCCCGTGGGTGCGGAAGAGCGCACAAGGCTACCTCCTACTTGGGCAAGCGTTGGGGAGCAGCCAGATCCGTCACATCAAGCCATTCCAGCGTGAACCAGAGAAGGGACCAAAGGCATGGGCTGCTCTCGAGGGTGTACACAATCCTGCAACAGCGGCGGTAGCTGTGGTGTTGGAACGGCAAATGGCGTCGCTATGAATTGAGGAAGATGAACCCGTGGAAGACGGGGTGCAGAAATTCTTCGACTTGTTGACGCGGCTAGAGGGAGCTGATTTGAACTACAGTGAGCTCCAGAAGAAGACCAAGTTGCTGGCCCTACTCCTCGAGTCGTGGTCCTCGCTCATCATCAACTTGAACCGTGACATGCCTCGTCTCTCGCTTGAAGACGTGAAACGCGCAATCCTACAAGAGGACTTCCGCCGCCGTGAGTTGGCGAGTGCGGATGGCGCTGGGGCAGCAAGCGTCGGCCATGGATATGGCCAAGGAAGAGGCAGAGGACGTGGGGGAGGAAGGTTTGGTGGCAGCAACTTTGGCAGAGGCCGCGGGAGTGGCGGTTACGGCAGCGACGACAAGAGCTACGGGCGCGGTCGTGGCCGATTCGATGGCGAGTGCCATTATTGTCATAACGCCGGATACATGTGACGCGATTGCTACAAGCTCCCTGATGGTTGGACCCCTGCTCAAGATCAAGAAGGTGGAGGGAGAGGAAGAGGCCGTGGAGGCCGTGGCGGTCGCGGTGGCGGAGCTGCAAACATGAAGAGCGGAGACAACGACAAGGACCCGAGCGACGATCGATACCCGGGTCTATTCTACTTCGTGTCGACGCAAGTACCGGCTGGTCCAGAGAAGGATGAAGGCTTTGAGGAGCCAGCAGCTGTGGGGAAGGTGACCCTACACCCCCTGGACTATTGGGTGATTGATAGTGGCGCTACATATAGCATGACACCTCGTCCAGACTTGCTCACCGAACTCGAACCGTCACCGGTGAAGCATGTCACATCGGCTTTGGGGCAGTGAGAGGAGGTAAAATTCATGGGCAAGGCCATGTTTAAGGGTGCTGATGGGAAGATGGTGGGCCTCAAGAACGTGCTTTGGGTGCCCAGCCTTGCTGCGAACCTGATTTCCATGCGGCGTTTGGCAAAGGCCGGCATGGACACGAACTCGAAGGGAGCCAAGACCTACACCGCAAGGCTGTTGTGTGATGCAATCATATGCATTCACGTCTGTCTGCCTCCCATCATGTGTTTGTGCGTTGCATGCGTGGTGTGAGCGTGTGCAAGAATTTGTGTTTTGTGCGGTTTGGTTTTTTCTGAGTGTGTGTGAATGTTATTTGGCTTGAGCAGATATCTGAAGCGACTTCTCTGCTGAAGAGCTCTCCGACGAACCAAGTATCGCCTCAATCGGAGCACGATCAAGAAATTTACGAACGTTGGAGTTCGTATGCTTTTCACATTTGATTGTGGCAACTGTGGGAAGTTGTGGGGTTGACTCAATATGGGGTACAGACTTTTGGGGGTTGGGAAATTCGTCTTTTCTACTGTAGTTGCTGCCAAATGGTTGGGAGAAACCAAACCAGGTTGGCAAGTGTGGCCAAGTTGGGTTGAGGTGAATTGTGGAGGTTGGGATAGTGACAAAGGTCAAAGTTGGGTTGCCTATGGGGAAGGGAATTGTGTGGCATGGGGTTTCCTTGGTTGGGGACTCTCTTGGGACCTTCCCTCTCGTCCTCCTCATCCCTCCCACCTGGTTTATTACTACTCTAACTCTCTTGTGTAGAAAATTGTGAACTTGTGTGAGACTATTGTGATTGAGTTAAGATTCTATGGCAGCATACCCCCTAGTGCGCCGAAATTGATAACTCAAGAAATACTTCACCTTTTCGTACGATTCAACTTGGAAATTGTAGCCACGGAGTAGAGCTACAAGATATCTGAGTTTGGTGAAGTCTTGACTGTGAACTTTTCATCGACGGCGTTTCTTGTGAGCGCGATTTTTCTGTCCAGAATTCTAAGCCAACGATTTTGAGAATTTTAGGCACCTAATCTTCGTAGACTCCGTCCTCAGTCTTTAACAAGTGGTATCAGAGCTGATTAAGGACCTTGTGGGGAGTCTACTGAAGTGTGAAGACCCTCCTAGACCCACCATGGCCTGTGGGCGTGCCTAAGTGGAGTTCTGGAGGTTGGATGTGACTTCCGTTAAGGGGAAACTCTGCCGAAATTTTGTTGGCACCGACACTTGTGAAGATTGTGTGGATCTACATTGTGACCAGCAAAGGGGGGAGCTGAAACCTCTGATTGGGAGCAGAGGAGGTGAATCAAGGGAGTGGAGATGCAGCTTAGAAGAGGAGTGAACCGCCACCATCCAAGATCGAAGCTTTGGATGGCTCCAACTATGAGGAATGGAGCGGGCGGATGCGGAGCGCCTTCAAGCGCTACAAGCCGCTGAAAATTGCAATGGGAGAGGAGAAGATGCCGGGGGAAGGAGATGCCCGCGATCGGTGGATTGAGAAGAGCGCGGTGCTGTACGACCTGATTCTACAATCGGTCAACAACGACATGTTCCAGCACATCAAGGATCTGGTGGAGTTGGATGATTCCGGACCGAAGGCATGGAAGCTGCTACGCGACGTGATTCAGCCCAACACGCTGCCGATGGTGATTGTGTTGGAGAAGGAGTTGGCGGCCATCTCCATGCGATCGGGAGATGATGTGAAGCCGGTCCTTGACAAGATCAAGGACACATAGCAGCGGCGGGCAGTGAGGTGTCGCAGATGCAGCAATGCACCAAGATCATTTCGGTGCTCGACAACTCGTGGGACAACCTCATCCCCACCCTCAACACTCAGCAGGACAAGTGGACGCCTGAGTGGCTACGGCAGCAGATCCTGCAGGAGGACTTCCGCAGGCGCCACACTGGAGGTGGTGCTGCCAACAAAACTGCTGAGGGGTATGGAGCTGCAGGAGGCAGCAAAGGAAGAGGGGGAGGGAGAGGCCGAGGCCGTGGGAGAGGCTTTGGCAGAGGGAGAGGCCGAGGTGACTATAATGAGGGGCATGGGAGCTCTGGAGGCAGGGGGAGCACCCGAATGGAGGGTGCCTGCTGGTACTGCAAGAAGGCTGGACACCCATGGTTCAAATGTTTCAGCCGGCCTGAGGGATGGGCGCCCCCAGGCATGAAGCCGCCAAGTGGTGAACGTGCACGAGGTGGCGCTGTGCAAGGTTCAGATGCACAAGGTGATGGTGCACAAGGTAAAGCCAACCCTGGGATGTTTCTCATGGTTGAGGATGTGCAAGGGAGTGGGGGTGATGTGGGTTCAGTTGGGAAGGTTGTTATGCACCCCCTCACTCACTGGGTGATAGACTCGGGTTGCACGAGTCACATGACTCCGCGGGCAGATTTGCTTGATGAGGTGAAACCCCCAGGAAGATCAAGTTTGTGGCTGCCGCTTCAGGTGCTTTGCTCCATGTGATTGGTGTTGGGAATGCCAAGGTCATGGGAGCCAATGGGGGGCTTGTGGGGCTGGGGAATGTGCTGTTGGTTGAAGGTTTGTCCGCTAACCTCCTCTCTGTGCGCCGGCTGCAGAAAAGCAAGGCCAAAGTGACTTTCGGTCCAACCAACTGCCGTGCAAAGCTTGGGAAGTTGCTGCTGTGGGACTTGGAGGAGAAGAGCAGCTGCATTAAGGACCTCTGGCAGCTGCCCATCATCCCATGGAATGGGAAACCACCAGCAACGGCAGCGGCTGCGGCAACGGCT